GCTAGAGGTGTCAATTTTTGAGAAGCTCGATGTAGCTTTTCTTTGGGGAATATATGCTAAAATTGCATGTTTAGGGGAATAAAAACTACCATTCTCTACTCATTTGTTAGCAATGTAACTCTCAAATGGGAAAGTTGCTTTGGTATTCAAACATAGTGAGACGGAAGTGGTGCTGTAGCTCAAGTGGTAGAGCGCTCGCCTTGAGCTGAAGAGCTGAGGGACAGCGCCCAGGCCCAGAGTTCAAGCCCCATGACTGACCAAAAAAGATTAAAAAAATAAAAAAAATCAAATATAGTGAGATAGCATTGTTTTGTGGGTGGTTATATTATCTGAAGATACTGAAATCTACAACAAAAAATATCTCGTTTCCTGGTAATCATTTTGTTGGAAAGATAGGAGGTGGGTCAAGGGGAAGGAGGGAGACAAAATTTAGTGTGTATCCTACAAAATTAACAAAAGTGAGGGGAGGGGCAGGGTTGGAATAAATGGTAAAGAATGATTTAAAAAAAAAAGGGGGAGTGACATTGATCAAGATGATTACATTCATAAACTGATTTGTTGAATGGTAATTCCTTGGTACAATTATTTGAATAATAATAAAAAGAACTCCCGCAGTAATGTACTCACATGTACTCACATAACAATTAAAAGTTAAAGAGGAGGAAAATGGATAATATGTTTTTCTAATATTGTGATTTTTGTATTATGTTGATTTTTATTACCTTTTTCTCCTTCGAAGTATCTGCTAATTTTCTGGTTTACTTGCAAAAATTAGCTTATTGCATACAAACACCATACTACAGTTTGCCAAGAACACTTACGTGATTATTTTGTAGTCAATGAAGCAATTAATACTGCAACAGGTCTTTTCATTAGTTATGTCTCCCATCTCTGGAATTGCTCAAAGTATCACTGCAGTATTATACATGGGAAACTAAGATATGAAAGTCGAATGACTTTCCCAAGTTCTCAGAATGAATCTGTAGCAGAGCTAGTATTAGACTCTGTGCTTTTGATGAGAAGTTAGAAATTTCTGTTTCTTTGTTAAGATATTTTTCAGTCATCTTTAAATTGAGCATAATTCTTAAAGTAAATCTATGTTGAAAGAGCTGATGGGAATGAAGGAAAGGGAAAAACACTATTCACTTAGAATTTTCCTCTAGAGGGCTGGGAAGGTGGCTCAGTGGTACAGCGCTTGCCTTACATGCCTGAGGCCCTGGGTTTGATTCCTCAGTACCACATAAGCAAAAAGGAAAAAGCTGGAAGTGGTGCTGTGGCTCAAGTGGTAGAGCACTAGCCTTGAGCTGAAGAGCTGAGGGACAGCGCCCAGGCCCAGAGTTCAGGCCCCACAACCAGACCAAAAAAAAAAAAAAAGAATTTTCCTCTAGATCTACTTCTAGAACTCTTCCTAGTTAGGTGGTGTGTTACCATTAACAGCTTCCAAAACACTCAGTAATTGAACCAGGATGCTAAAGAGTGCTTTTTTCCTATTTCCATTTATAGGGGGATAAGAATCCAATGAGATAGAAATAGATGGAAATTGTATGTGTACAGACTTGTTTGAAGTACACTATTTTCCCATCTCCCTTGCTTTCTTTTTCTTTTTGGCAGTTAACACTATTCTAAATGCAATGTTATCTGTAATGCTTTGTAACTATTACCACGGGGTCCCCTTTGAGCTGCTAAACACAGTAGGCCTATCTTGCCAGCTGTTTTATGGCCAAAGAAGTGAGGGTAAACAGAGGTTAAGTGACTGCCAGAAGCAGTCACCACTACAGCCACTCAAATTAGAACTCATGACTCCTACCATTCAACGTTCAATTGTAATTTAGAGAGCTCTAAAGTATTTGAGTCAGAGAGAGATGAAAAGCCTGTAGGAAAATTTGCTTCCTCTCCACAAAGGGACAAGCGTGCATCCCTGCTTTCCCCTGACTCTTCTCATTTATAGGCCACTTGACAAACTTCATGAAATTTCATGACACAGATTGCAGCTAAATAAGTGACCTCCACATCTATACTTTCATGGTTTTCTGTTTATTTCATATAGATAATATTAACATTAGTTCTTGGACTAGGAACAGATCTAATTTTCCCTTGGAGATGATCAGGATGGCTGAAAGGCAAAGGAATGTTATGGGAACTGGAAACCATATAGTTGACTTTACTGTGCTACCAAATGCCCAGGTGTGTTGTCTTGTGTCCAAGTGATAAAAGTCCTTTGGAAAATGAATTACAATGAAAGATGGTATGCTAATTAAATATAGCCCAAATGTGCTTATTTTCCATGCCATCCATTCTATAAGGGAAAAAAAAATGTTAGAACTGTGCACATCTGAAACAAATGACAGATCTTAGAAATCAGGACATGAAAGTCACCTGTTTAATTCTTATTTCACAAAAGACATTTCCTGCATCTAATGTAAATACTACCATCAGTACAGCCATCAGCCAGGGCTTGGTTCCTATTACTGAGGTGATTCTGAAGGTTGTTTTATTTTTCCAGTGCTGGTGATCAGGAGCTTGTCACTGATAAGCACATTTTCTACCACTAAGCTACACCCTCAGCCCTTCAAATATGATTTTTACAATTTTATTTTATTGTAAAGATGAGTACATTACTTGTCGATCAATTTTACCCCTTCCTTTGTTGATGTCCCAGTATCCCTTCCCTCCTCTCCCACCTCCCACACTCCTCCTCTCCCCCATCCTCCTCCCTCGAACATGACTTTTTAAAATAATCATTAGCATTTGTGTAACACTTCCACGGGATGTGAATAAACACTGTAGGCAGCTTCTCTAGTTATATTCAAGAATGTGGAGGACAAAAATGAAAGGCAATACATTTCTTCCATAATTTCCTAGTAATTCTAGACAAAGATGAGGTTTCATGATAAGTCTTCAGTGTGGAGGCTTGTGGGTTGTAGAACAGATGAAAAGTGCTGAAGTTGGGATTTTGAATATCCCCTGGAGATCCCTATGTTGAAGGCTTGTTCCCCTGCCTGTGGTGCCATAGGTCAGTGATGGAATCTATAGGAAGTGGGGCCCAGGAACAGGAAGGGCATTACGGGCATGTTTTGAAGGACATATTGGAAAAATCATCTCTCCTCCCCTCTCTCTTTTAATCTTGGCTACAACTGATGTGAGTAGCTTTTTTCTACCCAGAGCTCCTACCATCTTGTACTTTGTTGCCACAGGTCCAAAGAGGTCAAGCAACTGAGACCTCTGAAACTGAGCCCAAACAGACATTTCCTCCTTAAAAGCTGATTTTCCTTCAATATTCTGTCATAGCCGTAGAAAGCTGATTGACCCGCTGCCAGAACCAAGGTAACAAGTAGAGTCCTCCAAGACTTTTGCTTGTCTGGCACTGATAGCCCTGTCTCTATCCTAATCCCATTCCTTATTCTCACATGGAAAGACACCTCAATATGCTATTCAGAAGCATGATGGGACCCAGTCCAGAGCTCACCTAAGAGGAACAGCCTCGCGGGCTGCAAGGCCATTTCACCCCTTTCCAGTCACAGGCTGGCCCTTTACCTTCTCCCTGGTGACTTCATCAGAATCTTCTCATGAGAGGTCAGCTATGATAATTTAAAAAAAAACCAAAAAACCTTATTTATTTTTCTTGTGTCATCATGGAGCTTGGACTTAAGGCCTGGACGCTGTCTCTGAGCTTTTTGTGCTCACAGCTAGTGTTCTACCACTTGAGCCACACTCCACTACCAGCTTTTTGGTAGTTTATTGGAGATAAGAGGATCACAGACTTTCCTGCCCAAGCTGGTTTCAATCCGGGATCCTCACACCTCAGCCTCCTGAGTAGCTGGGATTATCGGCATGAGCCACCAGCACCCAGCAAGGCAAGACCTTTTGAAGGCCAGGTGCTGATGGCAAGACTACAGGTAGCGCTCTCACACTTGCACATTTGCTACACCTCAAGTCCTTTCAGGACTTCTGGGGTCTGAGCGTGACAATGAGTGGAAGGGGGCAGCGTGGGACCTATGCTGGTGAATGTCAGGACATCAGGAATCTTGGCTCCTTTCCTGTTGCCCACTCCTGCGGTCCCGCCCATAGGCCTTTGGCTGTTAGTTCCACGGCAGGTGCATTTCCAGGCAGAGAGAGGCCCTGTCCACGAAGATGCTTCTCCCGGGCATCAGCCGACCGAGAAGAGAGCCGCGGGAGCCGCCCCCCGCGGCCCGCACCCCGCAGGACACTCGCCGGAGGAGGGGAGCGGGCGGAGGAGGAGACTTTCCGCCGAGTCCCGCGTCCCGGAGCTCCCGCTAAATCCCCGGAGATGCCGCCGCCGAGCGCTGCCCCCGCCCCCGCCCAGGGCCGGGCAGGCCCCGCACGTCGGGGAGATGACCCTCGGATGGAGATCGGAACCTTTTCCAGGGAGCCAGGAGCTCTCCGTCTCCGGCCACGGTCCTCCACCCGCAGCCCGGCGGCCCGGCCCGGGACGCGCCGTCTCGGGGTCCTTGGCTCCTTCGGGGCCGCCGGGCTCCGCGCTTCCACCATCCGACTGTCATCCTGGTCTCCGTCCACCTCTGGGCCCCCGGCTCCACGGCGCGCCGACGGGCTACCGCTCGGGGCGGGGTGGGCGTCCTGACTTCTCTCAGGCCGGACCCTCCTGCCTCGCGGTCCAGAGCCCGCTGCGAACGGCCCGGCGGCGCCGGCCAGCGGCCGCCACACTTCGCAAAAGACAACCTGCAACGCCGCGGCCCGCTCCCCGGTCCGCCCTCCTCCGCGGGCGATTGGACAGAGACTGCAGGGGGGGGCCGAGAGCTAGGCACCGCCTACGGCCGCCTGAGGCTCTGGAGACCACACGGTTGGCTATTAGCCTCGCCAATCACAGGCTGATGAATACCACGCCCCTCAAGGGCCGGACGCAGGGTGGCCCCGCCCCAGCGACGGCCCCACCCCCCGGAGGTGGCCCCGCCCCCGGCTCCGCCTCCCTGCCGAGCCTGGTCTTCCACAGCCCGGCGTTCCGCCTCATTCGCTGAGCAGGTCCTTGAATTGTCAGCGCGCTCGGGGCGACTGCAGAGTCGGGCGGCCGCCGGGCTGAGGTGCCCGCTCGGGCCAGGGTGCGCGGACCCTCCGGGACGTGAGCGATCGGCGGGGGACAGCTTGGGGCTGCGGACCCGCGGCAGGGCTCGGCCAGGAGGGTGAGTGTGGTCGCGCGGCGCGGGGCGGCGGGCGGCGGGCGGCGGGCGGCGCGGACCCGGCGCGGCCGGCGCTCGTCGGTCCTTCCGTCGGAGCGCGGCGAGGGCCGGGCCGGCGCCTCCGCTCCCCAACTTCTGGCTGCCGAAGCTCCCCGCCTCGGCACCGCGTCCGCAGACGCGCACTCGGCGCGGCGCCCGCCCTGTCAGCCGGGGCGCGCCCCGGACGGCGGGGTCCGCGCCCGGGAGCTGGCCGCGGTGCCCGGGAGCTGGCCGCGGTGCCCGCCCGGGCGCGGGCGGCCGTTCCTGCATGGCGAGCCCACGGGTCCCTCGGACCTCGCCGGCCCCGAGCCTCCGCGGCGCGACACCCCGCGCCCGCGGGGATCCGCAGGCTGGGCGAGCCGGGCTCCGGGGCGCGGGGAGCCCCGAGGGCTCTCGGGGCACCGCGGCGCCCGGGGCGTGAATGGACAGCGACCGCAAACTTTACGGAGTCGCCGCCACCGCCGCCGGGAACCCGTTCGGCGCGGGAACCCGCGCCCCTGTTGAGGGGCTCGGACCTCAGCAGCCACCCTCGAGGTGCACCCGAAAAAACACAGCTCCCTCCGGGGGATCTGGATCGGTAACGACGCCCGTCCTGGAGAGCCCGACCCCGGACGGTGAGCGGGGCCGCCGGCCCGGGGGAGTGGAGTGTGTGCAGCGGTGAAGTTGTGGCGGGAGCTGGCAGACCCAGGGCGCAGCGGACCCCGCGCGTCCGCGCGCGTTCCCAGCCCATTCATTCCCGCCCCGCCCCGCCCCGCGCGGAGTAAACACGGACTCCCCCCCCTCCTCGGAGGCGGCCGCTTCCGATGTTCCGATGTGCGCACCCACTATAATGCAGGGTAGTGTTTTCTCGTCGATTCTCGTTTGCCACCGGTGGGAGTTTATTGATTCCTGGAGAGGAACTTGGGTCCAGAATTTGGGAATGTTGAGATCTTTGCCAATGTGTGTGTGTATGCGCGCGCAGGGGTGGTTTATGAATGTTTAAAATTGATAGGTGAATGAGATAGAAATATATCGGGAGGGGGGGCGGGTAGCCTTGAACTTCCCCTTGGCACCAGACCCCGAGCTGTGGAGGGTGTATATGGAAGCGTGTCTGCGTCCGTCTGGCCTGTCTGGGTCAGCGTATGTCCATGAACTTTATGAGCTTTCAGTTCAATACGTCTCGGTGCGGATTCCGCGTTCCTGTTTTACAGCCCAGCAGCCGCCAGCCAGCCCATCTGTTAAAACACAACATGTACACTTCAGCCAGAGCACCGGGGTGGAGCCTGGGTAGAGGGCAGCCCTTAGCAGAAACAGCATGTTACAAACAAAGCCTGTCTCAAGTTCTATTTTTCTTTACTATCTGGCCTGATCTTGCATTTGGCAAGTAAAAAGAGACATTCTTTAATGTCTCTAGAAAGGACAAACTGTGTTTTGTGAAATAATTGTAGCTATGTTTGGAGTGGAGGGGGAGCTTCTAGGAGAAAAATACAATCCTTCTAGAAAAAAGTGTCTCATCGCCCTGCAGCACTGGTTTACTGCCTTGCAGTAGCATGTATATCAGAAACTCTTCTTATTTTGCTTCTTAACACAGTGCATTAAAACTGAATTGTTTTGCACCAAAAAAAAAAAAAAAAACAGCCCACTTTAATAGAAGTAAACAAAGCTTTATTGCAGAGAGGAGAGTTAAGGCTGTCTTAGTAATTCTAATGAAGCATGCTTTTAGGAATTTATGACTTGAGCATAAATTCATATGTAGCCTAACCACTGGTAGAAATGGTTCACAATATAGTTTTAAAATAATAAAAGCGAAGCCTGGCACGGGTGGCTCATGCCTAGAATCCTCATTACTCAGGAAGCTGAAATCTGAAGATCGCAGTTCTAAGTTCTTTCCCCACCCCCACCCCCGGGTGGGAGGGGCAGAAAAGTCCTCATGAGACTCTTATCTCCAATAAATTACTCAAAAAAGCCAGAAGTGGCGCTATGGCTTAAGTAGGAGAGCTATGCTTGAGCACAAAGCGGCCCATGGACAGCTCCCAGGCCATGAGATCAAGCCCCAGGACCAGCTATATACATATATATATATATATATATAAAACCTTATTATATGTAATATATATAATATTTATATATAAATGCTTTATCACAAAACTTCTGATGACTAAAGAGGTATGGGAGGAATATAACAGTTTAACAAGTTCCTACAGGCAAGTGACTGATACTTTAGTAAACTATAAATTCATTTAATAACATAGTTACTTTTAGTGACAATGAAGGCAGTAGTTTTGAGAAGTTTAGTTGGTATTTTCACAATAATTTTATGTTCACAATTACATTTTAATAGTAATGTTTATTATATGTGAAAAGAATAAGCTAGTGCAGTTTTAAGAACTCATCTCAATATGTATTATCTACACTTTTATGATATAAAAATATTTGGGGGGCAAGTAGGCAAATCTTTAATATATACAAGTCTAGACGTGGGGTGGGCTATGTAGACACAGTAATTCTCCTGCCTGCTAAGAATCATCCAGATCCACCAGGTTGGTTGTTCCTTAGACATTCAATTCTTGGATTGGATTCTAGTCCTGGACATTCAGTTCTTGGGCCTGGGGTGGCACTTAAGAACCTGCATTTTGAGCAAGTTTCCCAAACGAATCTTGATATCAGGGAACCCCTCATCATATTTCAAGAAACACTGGAACGTTGTTCTGATAGAAAAGAACATAGTCTGTGAACTGATTTAACAAATAATTGTTCAGAAATTTCCAGGTGGCGTTTACTGGCCTTGTGAAATTTATAGGTAATGCATTAACTCTCCTTCTTTAACAATGGGTTCTTTTTGTCCTGTGTGTGGAAGCTGCAACTCTTCCTGTTTCAGGGTTGCCCTAATTCTAAGGGAGTCTTTGGAGAAGCAAAATAGTTTAATACCCCTCCCTCGTCTTGGCCCCTCCACTTCTTCCCTCCCCCCATTTTTGATCCTGGGATGGATTGGACAGGTTCCCAAGATGCCCTGAGATGACTTAGTCAGCCCTAACACATGTTGTTGGGGATATTTCCCTGGAGGATAGGAGAAGAGGCACCTTTTTCTCTTAAAAACAAGCAGAACTCTCACAGTTTGGGGGCAAGAACCAAAGTATACACTTCACCTGGGAAAACACAGACTCAGCAAAGTCCTAGGAGAACTAGTCCTAGCAGAACTAGCTGTGCTGTTGGCCAGCGACTGTCTCGGGCTGTCCCCTCATAAGCTCATAGATACTCTTCTGAAAGTAACCTTAAAATGTATTTTGAGATGTCCAAGTAATGAGTGGATTTTCTCATTGTAAAAGAGAGATGGATTTAGAACGGACTGCTACTTCTCTCACTGAAACCATTATGAAGTGTGATCTATTCATTATTGCCAATTAGCGTTTTTCATGTATCCTTTGCTACGGACATGAAGACTCTGGTTTTCCTTATTTTAGACTGGTATAATTTTCCATGTAAGAGTCCTACAAAAGGCTTGAAAAAGAAAGGATCTATCAGCAGTTTTCCTTCTCTCTGCCATTCAAGTACCTAAATACCTAATGACTTCTCAGAGGTCAGAAGTGTCCAGAAATCAGCTTCCCTGATACAGAAGCTGAGGCACTCAACTGAGATGGTTCTAGACCATTGATTGGATCATCACTGGGATTTTTACAGAGAAAACTTCTTGGCAAGCATGTTGGTAGGTCACTTATGTCAACAATCCTTTGAGGACAATGCTTTTTTGTTTTCCCTACATTGTTCCACATGAGTGAACTGCAACCAAAAGAAGCAAATATTTAGATTTTTGTCTTTTATATTCAAAGATGACACCAATAACTGAGAGGTTGACCTTACATTTTGAATTGTTTTTTACTTAGTATTGTGGTGATATCATAGAGTTATACTTAGTCATTCATATGATCTACAATTTCTTACCCTTTCAATATTTTCTTATAAAGGATGGCAACCTTGTGCAGTTTTCTTTATAAAGTTAATCACCTTCTATGATAGTTGGTTCAATGGCTCTGACCTTAAACAGCCAACCTTGACCTAGAGAGGCAAATAATTTACCAAAGGTCACAGTGCACAACTCTAGCAAAGCCTATGTGAAGAATTCCTTGGATTTACATTTTAACCCTGTACTATTTTGTTCATTGGCATGTTGTGCTGCTAAGAATGTTTTACACTGGCAAAATAGTTACATTTCATTTGCCCAGCTTCTGTAGAATTTGATAGATGTAGAACATTTGAAGGGCCTGAGGTATACCACAGCCCCTGATCGTACAATGGCAATGATTTGTGCATGGTTTAAAATAACTACAGTAGCTTGCTGCTTTTCTTGAAACTATGTCATAGGTCATTGCAAGCTTCTATGCAACAATTATAACTTTTCTTTTGGCCATGGCATATTTCTGATATCTTGACTTTCGTTTAGTAAATTCTTCTCAATGTTTTTACTCTCCTTTCCCTTGTTCCGATAGACCATTTGTTAAAAAAAAAAAAAAAATCAAGTCAATGGGATCTATTAACAGGACTTAAATTTTAGCCATTTTAACTATTGCTCTTCTAAAATGGCCCTTCAAGCTCCCACCTTCACTAGAGTTACGAGTGTCCAGAAATATCTTCTCATGGAGAACAATATTGAGCTAGAAAAGTTTCCCTCTGGCTTTAGCTTTGTGGATTCAATGACAAATAACTGTAGTAAGAAAAAAAGAAGAAGGTAACGGATGATATTGAAGTCATATTGATAGGCGTATCATATGAGCTATCCCTGGCTTATAGTGTCAGTAGGAAATTTAAGATCCAGATGAATAAGTAACAGATGCATTCATCTGTGGCCTAAGAGGCACTCCTAATACAAGTTGAAAAACATAACTGAACACACCAGATCCTGGGTTACACAAGAAAAACAAATGTTAAGCTCTGAGAAAAGAACTGGGCCAAAAGTGAGGGGTCAGAGCCGGGAGGGGAGGGTGGGTTGG